TCTGCCCGAGAAGGTGACAGAGCCCAGGATCCACCTCCGACCTATTTCTAATCTCATGGTCCTCGGGGCTACTTAGTGTGCCTGTCTCCCAACTCCACTCACAGTGCGAACACTCAGGAAGCTCAAGCAGGAAGCAGCCGAATTAATTATGATAACCCCGGCCTGGCCCAGGAAATTTTGGTCTTCAGATCTGTGGTGTTTAGATCAGCCACCCATAACCTTACCACTGCCGCTGAACGTCCTCACTCAGATGCAGGAACAGATCCTGGGTCCATATCCCACAACTCACCCCCAGGCAGCGTGATGCTGACCAGCTGGCTCTGTCAGAGTGAGCTTGTTCCTCAGAAGGGCAGACTGCTCAGACATGGGAGGTGGGACTCCCCAAGATCCACTTAGCTAGCAAAATGGGAGAAATTCTCAATATGGGCTTATCAACGTCAATTGTCTCCCTCAGCCCCTGGGACCCAGTCATGCTACACTCCCTCCTGGAGTCTGAGAGCCCAGGCCTGTCACTTCAGCTCCCTGGGAGTCCATGTGGTGGCTGTCTCTGTAATTCCCCAACCCAGAGAAGTGTGTTTGTGTTTGTGTGTGTGTGTGGGGGGGGGGGGAGTCCGTTTTTTCTCACCCTGTGGTAACCAATAAGGAAAACCTGTAGCTCTCTGGGACGGAAATGGAGTTCTGCTAGGTCTCGTGGGTTCACCCTTTGCTACCTGATCTTTGCTCTGCCTCTCCATCAAAATGTCCTTTTGTGGCCGCACCCTCGGGCGGAAGAGTAGGAGAGTTACGGGCTGTAATGCCACAGTCACCTTCCATAAAGATAACCTTAGAATCCTAGAAGATCAGGGTTGGCAGGTACCTCAGGAGGTCATCTCGTCCCACCCCCTGCTCAAAGCAGGACCGATCCCTTGAACCCATACCCCCGGTTCGTACCTCACGTGGCTTCTGAATTGCATTTGAACCAAGTCGTACACCTGCCACTACTTTTCCACAAACCTCACTCAACTAAAGATGGAGAAAAATTACATTTTGGGATGTATGTAGAGCACTTCCATTGTATTCGGACAGGCCTAAACACTTTAGGAAATCTCCCCAACTTTGCACAGCGTAGAGGGAGAAGGTTAAAGATGAAGATGTTTCACCCCAAGGAATTTCTGTTGGGATCTCATCTTGTGGCAGGCTCTGCTGTGAGTTGGCCAGTAAATACCCCCATTAGGGAGGCACTGCACATTCGACAAGAGTTCATCCACTCTAGTAGCAGCTCTCAGAAATCTCCCCCTCATGAACATTTGTAAAGCGGCAGCTGGTCTTCCATCTGCACAGCACTGTGCCACCGTCGAGGCATCTAAAGAGGCCAAGAGCCTGGCGGGACTGTTCTACGGTAGCTGTTGAGCTAGACTCCCGGTACGCCTCTTCAGCAAGGGTCACGGTGTGGGGACTGCCAGCAGGGGAACGTCTGTACAGACGTCGCTCAAAGGAGAAGAAATAGTTACGGTGTACAGTGGCTGTGTTCTTTGAGCTGTATTGTCCGTGCGTGCATGTGGGTGTGTATTTTCCACACCTTGCCCCCGCTGCTGACCAAAAGTCTCCGTCTCAAGTGCACTGGGTGCCTACCCATCAAGAGGGGACTAGATGTATGGCCACAGGGTATGGGTGATTAACTGGCAATGTGGGCTGGGTGCAGAGCCAGGTTACAGACTCTGGAATAAAGACAGGACAATTAATAATGAAATGAAATAAATGGTGATCGATTTGCAGCAAATTTCTGCCCCTGAAGCTTTGAGTTGTGGGGAGAGAGCGTTTCTGGCTTCCTGCCTGTGTAAGGGGCTGGCAATCACAGACATGCTGACCTGGAGTGGGGTGGCAGGGGCTCTCAGCTCAGGCTCTGGAGACCTGCTGCTGGGGACTGCATGGTGGGCAGCTAATCTCCAGTCCCCAGGCCCACTGGCGGGGGCTGTGTCTGGGGAGGTTCCTCTCAGGCACCCTGCTGGGGTCTGTCTCTGTCTGGGGAGAGGAGGGTCTTGGAGCTGTGTGTGAGGAACTGCTCTGTGCGTGGGGATGGCAGGCTCCCCTCTGAGCATGTCCCCAGCCCACAAGGAGATAGAATCCTCCCTGCTCCAACCACCAGCAGGCCCCCTCCCCCAAGGAAGGAGTGGAGATGGATGCTGCCGTCAGGAGCGGAGTGCCAGCTAATTACCCTTCCAAGTGTGTCTTGTAAATTAAGGGCTAATTAGAGGCAAAGTCAGTGTCATGGTTTTACACGTGTTTCTGTGGCGCTGAACGAGGGGAGGGGAGGGGAGCGCGCAGCAGCCAGGCCGATCACTCGCTGTGCGCGCATCGCAGGGGGCAGGGCTCCGGGGACAGCAGCACTGGCTCAATGAGGCCACGGAGCGGGTCAGATGGGAGCCCCGGCCCTAGGGGCACCCCAGCTGTAGCTGGGGTGGGCAGGCAGCCGTTGCAGGCAAGGTTTGTGGGTAGTTCCCTGACCTGTGCGCTCAGAGAGGCAGGCAGGGAGTTCTGCAGCCACGTCATGTAAATGAACACTGGTTTTTGAATGAAGTAAACATGCTGCAATCCTCGGACGCTGGATTTGCTGAAGGTCCTGCTGTCCCGGCATCCCTGCTTGTCGAGCTGGGGCAGGCCAGGCCCCTCCGAGCTGCAGTTTCAGGCTGCCTGCAGACACTTGGGCCATGTTTCCAAGGTTTCCTTTGGATCCGCAAAGGATTGGAAATGGGATTTGAAGACTGTCAGCTTGGGGTCTGTAGCCAGGCCTGTGGCCGTGGGATCGCAGACGGCGTGGGTCTCTGGCCAGAGCACAGGGCCTTGAGTGAGGGACGCAGAACAGCGAGTAGGGCTCAAGCAGCGGATGTGATTATTTAGCCTGGGGCTCGCAGGTCAGGGTTTGGTTCCTAGGTCTTGGGGGGCTCAGGGCTCATTGAGAAGAGAAGAAGCATAAGAACAGGCATTTCTGCTGCCCCCAAAGGCTCCCCCTTCCTGCCTGCCCTGGCCAGGGGGCAGCCTCTCGGTACGTCTGCATTGCAGTGAAACACCCGCCGCTGGCCTGTGTCAGCTGGCGCGACAGGGCTATAAAATGGCAGTGTAGATGTTTGGGCTCGGGCTGGAGCCCAGGCTCGGGGACCCGCCCCCCTCACAGCGTCCCTGAGCCCAAATGCCTAAACTGCAGTTCCATAGCCCCGCAAGCCCGTCAGCCGACCTGGGACAGCCATGGGTGTTCTGGTGCAGCGAAAACGTACCGAGTCTCCACCCCCTGGTCCTGGAGGCGGGGCACCACTTGGCACTCTCCGGGCAGCGGCTGTCTCTCGAGGACCAGAGACTCCGCATGTGCTCTCCTCGATTATAAAGCCAGAAGGAGCCACTCTGATCAGGTCATCTGCCCTCCTCCACAACACCAGCAGGACTTCCCTGCCTGAATTCCTGTTTGGACGAGAGGACGTCGTGTAGAAATACATCCCAGCTTGATGTGAACATTGCCAGGGATGGAGACTCCACCACAGCCCTTGGGAAGAGGGTTCAGTAGTTAATGATTCACAGTTAAAACTTGTCTCTTATTTCCACTGTGAATTTGTCTAGCTTCATCTTCCAGCCACTGGATCGTGTTAGACCTTTGTCTGCTAGACTGAAGAAATATTTGTTCCCCGTGTAGGTACTTATAGACTGTGATTAGCTCACCCCTAGCCTTCTCTTTCATGGAGTCAGAGAACCACAGGGTTAGAAGGGACCGCAAAGGTCATCTAGTCCACTGTTTCTCAATGACCGGTCCGTGGACCAGTGCCGGTCCCTGAGTTCTCCCTGACACGTAGGAAGGCAGCAAGCCAGTCCCTGGTGTCAGAAAGGCTGAGAAACACTGGTCTAGTCTGACTCCCTGCCAAGATGCAGAATTTGTTGAGTCTTTGTTAAGATAGATTGAGTTTAATTTAGGGCAGTTCTAGGGCCTGTGCTCTTGAGAAGTTTAGACTAGATGATCACAATGGTTCCTTCTGGCCCTAGAGTCTATGAATCTGTGAGCACCTGGAGTCTCTTACTATGAGGCAGGTTTTCCAATCCTTTAATCCAGCGGTTCTCAAACTGTGGGTTGGGACCCTGTTTTAATGGAATCGGGGCCCCGTTTTAATGGGGTCGCGAGAGCTGGGATTAGTCTTGCTGGGGCCCAGGGCCAAAGCCAAAGCCCGAGCCCCACAGTCCAGGGCCAAAGCCCAAGCCCCAGGGCCGTGGGGTTCAGGTTACAGGTCTCCCCGACTGGGGCTGAAGCCATTGGGCTTCGGCTTTGGCCCCCCCCTCCGGGCAGCGGGGCTTGGGTGGGCTCGGGCTTTGGTCCCTCATCCTGGGGTCCTGTAGTAATTTTTGTTGTCAGAAGGGGGTCACAGTGAAGTTTGAGAACCCGGCTTTAATCATTCTCGTGGCTCTTCTCTGAGCCCTCTGAAGTTTATCAACATTCTTCTTAAATTATGGGCCCCAGAGGTGTGTTCGTGCCACCCCTTCTGGTTTTCCTGGCCCAAGAACTGTCTGCTGCTACTTACTGACCCTTCTGAGAATTAGAAATGAGGTGGGGGAGGGGATATCTTTTATTGGACCAAATTCTGGTGGTGACAGACAGATGCTTTCGTGGGACACCTCTGAAAATGGGAAAATGTCGGGCAGCGACTGGGAGACGCCTCGTCTCCCAGGAGCTCTGGTCTTTTGGAGCCCAGTGACTGCTGAACCCAGGATGGCACCACCTGCAAGGCTCAGCTGTTCTCAGCCCCTCCAAGAGCTCGACAGGCTCCGGCTCCAGGGCCCGACTGGGACGCGTTGGCTTGGGCAGGGGGACGTGTCGTGGGGCCCGGCTGGGACACGTTGGCTCGGGGGGGGACGTGTCGTGGGGCTCGGCTGGGACATATTGTGGGGGGCAAATGTGTTGTGGGGCCCAGCTGGCGAATGGGCATCTGACCCGCTTTTCTGTTCCGTTGGGGACAGCCTGGTGTGAGCTTGTGCCTGTCTTGCAGGTGCCCCCCACTCGACCAGCAGCACCTCCCTGCACTCCGAACGCTCCATCAACTTGGTGGGCTTCTGCTCGAAGCCAGACGGCATGCACCAGCGCTCCTACTCCGTCTCCAGCGCAGACCAGTGGAGTGAGGCGGTGGTGATCCCCAGCAGCTGCCCCAACCCCCGTGAGTACCCTGCGCTCCCTCTCCGTGCCCCGCATTGCTCCGCCGCTGCGGGCGGGAGGGGCGTGCGGGCCGCCCGCAGGAGCTGTGCCCTGCCGGCAGCATGGCACCGAGCGCCCTGCCGGTGCTCTCAGGAGCCCCGCGCAGACCCTGCGGGGAGCTGGGCGCTGCACCGGGGCCGCTGAGCTGTCTGCGCTGGGGAGACAAGGGCACGGAGACTGCCGCCGAGCCGGGCCCTTGCTCAGCCAGGGCTTGCTGCCTCTGCTGGGGATGCCCCCGCCCCGCTCTGCCCACCCCACGCGAGGCCAGCGGTGGAGTGAAGGCCGCTCTGTTCTTCCTGCGTTTCGTCTCTCCCTGCCCTCCTCTCCTGCCTGCCCTCAGACCCCTGCCTCCCCCCGGTTTGGGAGAGTGAAGTGAGTCGGAGGAAGCCCTGTTTCTCACACACACTGGCTGTGTACTGCCCTCCCCCCGCCCCGAGGGTTCAGGACAGTTGAGTGAATTAAAATAATTCACACATTTCCCAACGTAGCCACTTTGCCGAATTGGAAAATAAATGCCTTTGTGCTGCATCCATCACTCCTTCGTTCCTGGCGCGGCCGCCGCACTAAAAAAGCCGTTAAATGCACATCAGGAGTGGAGGAGCCATTTCCATGCCTGTTCGCCCCCTCGCCGTTCTCATTAGCGCGGCAGCCGCCCCCCCCCGCTCAGTCCCAGGGGCTTTCGCAGTTTAAAGAGAGCCTCTTTATGATCATTACCGGAGTCCGACTGTGCGGGCGCCATTTGCAGCTGAGGAGGCTCCTCATTTGTAACTGTGAAAAACTATCAATTTCAGCGCGCCTGGTGCCGCGGCTCCATCACTGGCCCCATCAGCTCCCTGCTGGAAGCGAATTAATCAGACTGCTGCCGCTGATGGGGCAGCGCCGGCGACGGGAGCGGAGGGGCGCAGCTCTGAGCATGAATGTGCTCGCGCTCCCCCGTCGGACACTGAGCAGGGCAGGGCCAGCTCCCACGCTCCTCTCCCTCCAGAGCAGCCAGCCAGCCAGAGCCAGGCTGGCCACCACACCCGCGGCCACACAGGGCCCTGCCCCACATGGAGCCCCTCCGTGCCCTGCCCTGCCCTACCCTGCCCTGTAAGGGGGAGCTGCCCCCGATACCACAGGATCCTCTGCACATGGGGGAGCCGCTCACCCCGATACCACAGGTGTCTCCCCAGGCCAGGGGGAGCTGCCCACCCCGACACCACAGGTGTCTCCCCGGGCATGGGGAAGCTGCCCCCCGAGACCGCAGGGTCTCTCCTGTACATGGAGGTGCTGCTCACCCCGATACCTCAGGGTCCCCCCGGACACGAGGGAGCTACCCACCCCAATACCGCAGGTGTCCCCCTGGACATAGGGAAGCTGTCCGCCAAAACCGCAGAGTCCCCCCGGACATAGGGGAGCTGCCCCTCAATACCACAGAGTCCCCCCTGTACGTGGGGGAACCACTCACCCCAATACCACAGGGTCCCCCTGGACATGGGAGAGCAGCCCACCCTGATACTGCAGGTGTCTCCCCGGGCACAGGGAGCCGCCCACCCCAATACCACAGGGTTCCCCCTGTACCTGGGGGAGCTGCTCCCCCCAATATCACAGGGTTCCCGCGGGCATAGGGGAGCTGAACCCTCGATACTGTAGGTGTCTCCCCAACATGGGGTAGCCACCCACCCCGATACTTCAGGGTCCCCCCTGTACCTGGGGGAGCCGCCCACCCCAATACCACAGGGTCCCCCTTGTACATGGGGGAGCCGCCCACCCTGACACCACATGGTTCCCTGGACATGGGGGAGCGGACCCCTTGATACTGTAGGTGTCTCCTCATGCTTGCCCCAGTACTTCAGGGTTTCCCTGGACATGGGGAGCCACCCACCCTGTCACTGTAGGTTCTCCCTGAATGTGGGGGAGCTGACTCCTGATACTGCAGGGTCCCCCTGCACATGGGGGAGCCGCCCACCCCAATACCACAGGGTCCCCCCCCCACATGGGGGCGCCACCCACCCTGTTACCGTAGGTGTCCCCCTGTACATGGGAGCACCACCCACCCCAAACCGTAGGGTCTCCCCTGTACATGGGGGCGCCACCCACCCCAAACCGTAGGGTCCCCCCTGTATATGAGGGATCTGATCACCCTGATACCGCAGAGTTCCCCTGGACATGAGGGAGCCACTCACCCCAATACCACAGGTGTCTCCCCGCCCCGATACTGCAGGTGACTCCCCAGGCACAGGGAGCTGCTCCCCCCAATACCACAGGGTCCCCCCCGGGCATAGGGGACCTGACCCCTTGATACAGCAGGTGTCTCCCCAATATGGGGAAGCCTCCCATCCCAATACTGCCGAGGTCTCCCCATGCTTGCCCTGGTAAAAACATAAGAATGGGCCATCTGAGTCAGACCAAAGGTCCATCTAGCCCAGTATTCTGTTCCAATGCCCAGAGGGAATGAACAGAACCGGTAATCATCAAGTGATCCATTCCCTGTCACTCATTCCCAGCTTCTGGCAAACAGAGGCTAGGGACACCCTCCCTGCCCATCCTGGCTAATAGCCATTGATGGACCTATCCTCCATGAACTTATCTAGTTCTTTTTTGAACCTGTTATGGTCTTGGTCTTCACAACAGCCTCTGGCAAGGAGTTCCATAGGTTGACTGTGCATTGTGTGAAGAAATACTTCCTTTAGTTCTTTTTAAACCGTCTGCCTATTAATTTCATTGGGTGACCCCTAGTTCTTGTGTTATGAGAAGGAGTAAATAACACTTCCCTATTCACTTTCTCCACACCAGTCATGATTTTATAGACCTCTATCCTATCGCTCCTCAGTCGTCCCTTTTCCAAGCTGAACAGTCCCAGTCTTATTAATCTCTCCTCATACGGCAGACGCTCCAGACCCCTCATCATTTTTGTTGCCCTTTTCTGAACCTTTTCCAATTCCAATATATTTTTTTTGAGATGGGGCGACCACATCTGCACACAGTATTCAAGTTGTGGGCGTACCCTGGATTTATATAGAGTCAAGATGATATTTTCTGTCTCATTATCTATCCCTTTCTTAATGATTCCCAGCATTCTGTTCACTTTTTTGACTGCTGCTGCATAGTGAGTGGATGTTTCCAGAGAACTATCCACAGTGACTCCAAGCTCTCTTTCTCGAGTGGTAACAGCTAATTTAGACCCCATCATTTTATACGTATAGCTGGGATTATGTATTCCAATGTGCATTACTTTGCATTTATCAGCATTTAATTTCATCTGCCATTTTGTTGCCCCATCACGCAGTTTTGAGAGATCCTTTTGTAGCTCTTCGCAGTCTGCCTGGGATTTAACTATCTTGAGTAGTTTTGTATCCTCTGAAAATTTTGCCACCTCACTGTTTACCCCATTTTCCAGATCATTTATGAATATGTTGAATAGGACTGGTCCCAGTACAGACCCCTGGGGACACCACTATTTACCTCTCTCCATTCTGAAAACTGATCATTTATTCCTACCCTTTTTTTCCCTACCTTTTAACCAGTTACCAGTCCAGGAGAGGACCTTCCCTCTTATCCCATGACTACTTACTTTGCTTAAGAGCCTTTGGTGAGGGACCTTGTCAAAGGCTTTCTGAAAATCTAAGTACACTATGTCCACTGGATCCCCCTTGTCCACATGCTTGTTGACTCCTTCAAAAAATTCTAGTAGATTGGTGAGGCATGATTTCCCTTTACAAAAACCATGTTGACACTTCCCCCAACAAATTACGTTCATCTGTGTGTCTGACAATTTTGTTCTTTTCTATAGTTTCAACCAGTTTGCCCAGAGCTGAAGTCAGGCTTACTGGCCTGTAATTGCCGGGGTCACCTCTGGAGCCCTTTTTAAAAATTGGCGTCACATGGTACAGAGGTTGATTTAAATGATAGGTTACAGACTACAGTTAGTAGTCCTGCAATTTCATATTTGAGTTCCCTCAGAACTGCTGGGTGAATACCGTCTGGCCCTCCTGACTTATTACTGTTTAGTTCATCAATTTGTTCCAAAACCTCCTCTAATGACACCTCAATCTGGGACAGTCCCTCAGATCTGTCACCTAAAAAGAATGCCTCAGGTTTGGGACTCTCCCTCACATCCTCAGCCATGAAGACGGATGTAAAGAATTCATTTGGTTTCTCTGCAATGACGTTATCGTCCTTGAGTGCTCCTTTAGCATCTCGAATGTCCAGTGGCCTCACTGGTTGTTTAGCAGGCTTCCTGCTTCTGATGTACTTCTTGCTATTACTTTTTGAGTCTTTTGCTAGCTGTTCTTCAAATTCTTTTTTTGCCTGACTAATTGTATTTTTACGCTTAGAATCATGGAATATCAGGGTTGGAAGGGACCTCAGGAGGTCATGTAGTCCAACCCACTGCTCAAAGCAGGACCAATCCCCAATTAAATCATCCCAGCCAGGGCTTTGTCAAGCCTGACCTTAAAAACTTCTAAGGAAGGAGAGTCCACCCCCTCCCTAGGTAACGCATCCCAGTGTTTTACCAACCTCCTAGTGAAAAAGTTTTTCATAATATCCAACATAAAACCTCCCCCACTGCAACTTCAGACCATTACTCCTTGTTCTGTCATCTGCTACCACTGAGTACAGTCTAGATCCATCCTCTTTGGAACCCCCTTCCAGGTAGTTGAAAGCAGCTATTAAATCCCACCTCACTCTTCTCTTCCGCAGACTAAACAATCCCAGTTCCCTCAGACTCTCCTCATGAATCATGTGTTCCAGTCCCCTAATCATTTTTGTTGCCCTCCGCTGGACTTTCTCCAATTTTTCCACATCCTTCTTGTAGTGTGGGGCCCAAAACTGGACACAGTACTCCAGATGAGGCCTCACCAATGTCGAATAGAGGGGGACGATCACGTCCCTCGATCTGCTGGCAATGCCCCTACTTATACAGCCCAAAATCCCATTGGCCTTCTTGGCAACAAGGGCACACTGCTGACTCATATCCAG